AACTGTTCTCACTTTATCTTCTGTCTGCAGTTAACCTTCTGTGCACTCAGTTAATATCCATGGGCTCTGGCTGCTCTCTCCGAGAGAAGAATTCAAAGAAAGCCTTCAAAATCTCATCTACAGCCACTGAACTGTTGACTACATCTTTAAACTTGGTGAGATTTCTGCTCTCAACGAGCTTTTTCACACCATCCAAAAAGTCTTGCTGTCGATCGCATGTGCAAGCGAGGCATTCCTTCAACACATCAAACTTTTCTCTCTCCACCATCTGAATAATGATGCGTTCAATTATGTTGATAAAAGGATACCCAAACTCTATGACACTGTGCCTTTGACCCTTTGCATCATTGTATAGATACCCTCCTGAGTGCATTGCAACAACATTGCCATCCTCGTTAAAGACAGGAGAGCCAGAGGAGCCATCATATAAACAAGACTCGTAAGTCAGAAGTTGTTTGCGCTGTTGAACAACATCTGCAACATTTTGGAAGAAACGATCATTAAGAAGTTGAACACAGTCTTGATTGTCTTTGCGGTGCCTCTCGGCAACCAGACTACGGTTTTCTTGTGAAACAACCAAACAGACATCAATTTTTTTTACACTTTCACCTGGATATCCAATAATACAAATTCCACCACTGTGGCGAACGAATCCACTGCGTTTTAAGAGACGATCAGGCAACTTCTGATCAGCACTGAGCTTTAACAAAGCCCAGTCAGTCCCTGACACTTCCGGAATATATTCAATACCAACAACCTCTTCCACATCTATCAGGCCATCTTTCTCCTCCAAACTTTCAAAAGAGAAAGTCACAGCAACCTGCTCGTTAAGCCCACCGTTATCATTACAGAAGGCTTGGATAACATGGGCATTTGTGAGGATAAAATTGCCAAACAGGAGGAAACCACTACCACGTGGTTTCCCATTTATTCTCACTTGACAAACAGAATTACTGAGTTCCATGAGCTTCTTCATTGTTTTCACATCTTGACATCTTTTAGCACTGCTCCCAAACTCCTGACGGAAAATATTCTGGATGCGAGAAAGCTTAGGAACTTGAGCTTTCTTGCTTTTTACCAAAATGTTAAACCGTGCAGACAAATTAACTTGCAGCTTTTTTGAATCAGACAGTTGGTTTCCTGGAGCCATATTTCCAGAGATCCGTTTTTTTCCCTATTGTGTTGTCGGTCTCTGACTTGACTGGGTCAGTCTGCTGTGAAAGCGCCTCATTGCCACCAGAATCACTTGTCTGAGATTCACTCTGCAGCACATAAGCGTCATCAAGACTGCTAGGCTGACTTGCTGGTGGATTGGAGTTGTCGAGCAATATGATCTTGAAAGTCTCACCATCAAGGTCGTCGACCAAACTGCACATCTCCGTTTCAACCTCAGTGCTTATGTTAGAGAGCACACAATTCTTTTTGAACATGGTATTGAGAAAACGACCATCTCTTTGTAGAGCTTGCTTCACTTTTTCCCCTTCATATGCATAAACTGTAATTTCCTGCATGACTTTTCTTAGTTCTGGATTTTTCAGGATTCTGACAACATTTTTACCTCCTCGTGCCATGACATGAAATATCACAAGTTTGCTAGATTGTCTCTTTTTGCAGGGATAACCAGAGCCACTAACTGGTTTCTTTGGCTTCTCCACAGCTTTGACAAACTTCAGAGTCAGACGTTCATTTTTAATTACTCTGCACGGAAAGTGTGAAGCTATCGCTTTCCCATTTCTTACAATAACAAGCTCTTTGTCCTTCTGCTTTTCTACAACTGCTTTGAACTTTTGACTTTTCATCAGGCAGCCCTCAAATTTTGCACTTGATTGCAGGTATGGGTAGAGACATTCTTCATGTAACTCCACTCAAAAGAATGAGTCAGATGAGGCTCTTCTTCCTAGGAACAAAAAAAAGAAAGTGGTCTCACTTAACTTGCAGTACAACCTTATTCTCTTCAAGCAGATACTCAAACGATACCATCTTCTTTTGTGACCTTGCCCTTATTAGACATTCACTCAAATTTTAATTAAAATGGATAAAAATTGTGTTTCATTCATTTCCAACAAAGAAAAAGAATGATTGAGACATTGACAACAGGCTTTAAATGCAGGAGGAGAGTACGTTGATTTCTTGAAGTAACAACATGACAACCCCAATGCTGAATGGCTGCCACAGATTATAGTGCTCTCCATGTGCATTCAGACTATTTTTAATCTAGATCTGCTTTTTGCCACTGCTGGTACCTGCAGTGACATTCAGGATGCACATGCACTCAAGTTCTTCCAGAAAGGTGAATTCACATGAGCAACAATCTGTGCCCACCGCATGTAAAACAGTTTCGTTTTTGGAAGTGGTCTTGATGTTGCTTCTCCAGTGAGATTTATTTTTATTTTATTTTTTTAGGACAGTGCATGTTAATGAACATACATGTAAAAAAAAAAAAAAAAAAAAAAAATTACATGACTGCAAAGATTCCAGATTATAGCCAAGAGCTAATTTCCATCTGTTGTCCATAAAACATAAAAAAAAAAAATAGACATAACAATTCATAAAAAAAAATTCATAATTCATTCACAATAATAACTCAATCACCAAACTCATACATACCATTCTATTTCCAAATAAAACATTAAAACTATACAACTTATACATGATCACACAACAGTGCACCTGTTGCCACTTTTACTTGCATCTGTGATGGTTTATACTAACCAAGGCAAATACAAATTTGATTATAGGAGAAAATCAGCACCTCAGTGTCTCTTGGCACTTCACTTCTGCTCGCCATCGTTCCAGCAGTCGGGTATGACAGGTTATCTAAAGGCAAGGATAAGTGATTAATTTCTCACTTTACACATTTTATTGTGTGTATTCATGTCAGTATGACATATACAAATACATAGAAGAACAAATACAGATTACATGAGTTGTAAAAAACAAAAAAAACAAAAACAAAAAACAAAAACCCACACAAAACAAAGGGGGACCTTTAATTACAGTTAAAAACAATAATGCAGACTTGCATGACTGCCAACCAAAACACAAAGAAACACCAAAAGCGAGGTGTTAAAACGAAGTGTTCAAACAAAGAGCAGGAGTAATGAACCACACACCAAACACACTTGCTCTGAGATGAGGAACCCGTTTTACAGATCTTTTCTCCGTCTGGCAGGAAGGTAGGTACCTACAATAGAAGAAAAAGACCAAAAACGCACTCAGGCAAAGATCACAGTAAAGATTGAAAATGTGACGTCATTCAGGGGTAAAACCGCAAAGGATTCTGGGAACGAGTGGCAAGCGGTACTAGTGTGCGCAGGCTTTCACATGAAAACAGTCACAGAGTGATTAAAATTAAAAAAAAGAAAAAAAAAGGCAAGAAGCTGTTGTATTATTAACTGCAATAGCCGGTCGCATGACAGCCACGGGAAGCCGACGGGTAAAGAGATTTGTTGTTATCGATTACGTCGTGGAAGAGAAATTGTTCAAGCCGTGTGTGGTGGGGCGTGGTTTGCGGTGCCGTGCGGACGCACCTGCACGGCATCCGCAATCACGCCCGCCGTGTTAAAACACGGGGACTCAGGGGTTGGTGTGTGTGTGGTGTGACGTGAATTAAATAAAGTTGGCTCTGAACGTTGCTCCGTGGTCCCGCCGTGCCTTATTCACGCCACACCGTGTTTCCGAAGTAACAAAGAGCTGACGGATGGCCTGGATTGCAGCCATTCGAAGACCAAATATAACGTTCCAGAACACTCCAGCTCACATGTTAGTCTGCTCCAAGCATTTCCACAAAGGTAAGTCTTCTGTTGTAGTTATTACGTAATTTATCATAACATAGTTGTTGATGTAGTTTACAAATAAGTCTTATATTGATTTGAATTCGTTGCGCTATGCTGCTTTGTTCACTGTGGCTTTGCAGGCTAATGTTTGTTGTGTTTTGTAGGAAAACCAGCCTACAAAATGCTGGAATGCGATCCAGACTGGGCACCCTCTATCAACCTGGGTCATACCGAGTTTAAAGCTGCTACCACAGCAAGATTTGATCGGTTAAGAGAGAGAGTGATATCAAAACAGCCACAAAAAGTCAGGCATATATGTGCCCAAGGGTTGTATTGAAGCAATCAAGTGATGAATAACTGTTTTCCAGTATGTTGTTTTGCAATGTTTGTTTGTTTTTTTGCATTGTTGATTTGTTTTTTACCGAAGCAGCTAATAAAACACGATGAAATACAATTTAGCCTCTTTCTTGTAAGATTCTATAATAGAATGAAACAATGCCAGTTATAAATAAAGACAATAAATTGAATTAATTACAAAACACTCATTTTATTTCTATTAGATCTGAAAATGTTGTGTAATACTACAACCTGAAACGACAAATAGATTATCTCCTGTACAGGCCAACACAAGGGGGGGGGGGGGGGGTAATTAACAACAGCTGTGAAATGGAATAGCCCAAATCACCAAAGTAAACTGGACCTGGGCTTGTTGCAGGGATCTGAAGTTACTAAACATTCTGTGAGTGTATGCACTCACACTTAGTACCATATAATAAATATGTGCGTGATGAAAGTTGGGCAGCACGCTAACGTCCTTACTCCACTCTGTATTCTCGTATGGGTCTGACGCTTCCACTCCTTTGATTTTTTTCCTCGTCTTTTTTTTGTTGCCTTTTTGTCAAGTCTGTCTTTGTACGGACCTGGCGTGTTCTCCGTCGTTTTGTACGTAACTGTTTTGGGGGGCAAATAAAATGCAAGTAGGGATTAAAACCGCAGAATTAATGATTACCGGTGCTGGAAATACTAGCGCTTGATGCAGTGTTTTGATTTTGTTGCCACGGGTACCCACAAAGCAATGCATGAAAGTCACGTGGTCTGTCAATCTCTGTAGCCCTAATGAGAGCGATTACAGCAATAACAAACAGGAAATCGTAAATCTGCACAAGAAAAAAAGAAAACCCAAGATCTGCTGTGAAAAGATTTAAAGACAACATTAAGGACTATACCAAGTCAGCAACACAAAAACAGTAAGATATTAGTGTTTGTATGATTTCAAGGTGACACAGATGAAGAGAGCAGTACAATATCTGGCTGTAATGTTTAGTAGTTTGTGAAAATGCACAAATTACTGGAGGAGCTGGCCGGGGAGAGGGAGGTCTGGGTTTCTCTGCTTAAGGTGCTGCCCCTGCGACCCAGCCACGGATAAGCAGAAGAAAATGAATCAAACGAACAGCTCTGCTATCACTTCCGACATAAATTAAGACAAAACTAAACAGCAGTGACGTTTGTAGGGTTACTGAAGTTGGGCTAGCTGGTAGCTACATGGTGGCTAAAACAGAGCTGCAATCGCATGGCAGGAAAAAGATGCTGTAAATGGATCAAACTTCAGTCAGGAGAGCAACTGAGATAATCCATCCATAACACTAGGTTAGTCATTAGTGTACTGTTGTGCATGGGCTGGGCCGTGGTTACGGTTTAAAAACAGAGCTTTAAAATGTGCTGCTGATGAATTGTGCTAATAGGAACCGAGAGAGGCTGACAGTGATCACTGACTTTTTTTTTTATTTTTTAAAGAGGCTTGCTCAGATTAAATAGAACAAGATCAGAGGTGTGCAGACATGTTTGAAGGAGCGGGTTCCCAAAGCTAAAAAGGGGCACATAGAACGAGGCTGAATAACAACAACCCACATTCATTAAGACTCATACTATAGCACTGTCATCAGGCGGGCACAATGCATACATGGCATACGTTTTACCTGATGGGTACAATGCTGCTGCTGATAGTGCTGGAGGGCAGGGCCGTGTTGATCTGAGACTGTAGACAATGAGAGGAGAGATGGGAGCTGATTAATCAAGTGATATGAGATAATAATGTAATTCAAAGAGCGATGACAGTGTTTGGAACCATAATGCAACAGAAAAAAAAATAAAATAAAAGCCTCAAGATGGCACTTAGGGCACCCATCAGGAAAGGGGCAAGTACTGAATTTTTATCTGAGATTAGTTGAATCTATAGTTTTTCCACTGGTAGGCAATGCTTAGACACTGGCACTGATTAGAAACCTGCTGACATGTCAGTATAAAAGAATGTGTAGGGACAGCTGTAGACACGATCACTGACGCTTGATATCGGTCACCTCTAAGCTCCGTTCCTGGAAAAGAAGCAACTTCTCCCCACCAGTTTTACCAGTCAAACGTACAGTCTCATAAAACTGTATTGCTAAGATAGGTATTCTTTTTTTTGGGAAGTTGGCTGCAGCTAACTGTTTACAGTCTGCAGTTTTCTGAACAGAAGTGATCAATGGACGTTTTAATTATTAGTCATCCAATGAACTGATAAATACACCAAAAGAATGTTTTTTTTGCTGATGCTTCCTCAAGGTGGAAAACGACCACGTTAACAATATCAGCGGTATATCGGCACTAAATGCTCAAATGTTATAAAAACCTAATCCCGGCGACACGAGCACCTATTATAAAGCCAAATCTTTTGTCGCGAAAAAGGAGTTTAAAGTACTTTTAAAACTTTAACTTACCTCAAGAGAGAAAAAGAGCAATGTACAACTGTACACTCCAACGGATTAAACGGAACTGCTCGCTGCTCTCACAAACGCACCTAGTCATGCTGAAACTTCCCGCCTTTTCCCTGTAATGGGTGTTTCCTGTTGACTCCACAGGCAGGAAACACGCAGATTGCCATCTAGTGTACTGGAGTGTCCAACACATAACAGAGGGACACGACAAATGATTTGAATCCCTTCATTGTCATTGTACACAGCACAAAATAGTAGACTGGTGTTTGGGTGATACAGAAACCGATGAAAAGACAGAAATCTGAAAACAACACAAAATAATCAAAGTTGCACAAAGTTGCAAAAGCAAAGCAAATAAATGTTAAATATGTGGTTGTGTTTGCTATTAGCAGTCAGTGCAACTTAAGTAATTTCCAGTAGATGTGTTCAAAAATGTGTCATTGTCTCCTTAAGAATGATTAATCTTCATTAAACAGTTTTTGTTTTTTTGATCTTTTACAAATCCAACATGCATCTTTGTTCTGTGTGATACTGAATCCATCATCACTGCAAACATTTCTGCCTCTGTTCTTCAGACAGGACTGCTACAGGAGTAAACCTGTGGCAATATCTGCTCAATATTATAAACACCAAATCGTGAATGGGCTGGCACTTGTATAGCTCTTTTCTAGTCTCACTGAACACTCACACAAATACATCCTATTTTATCTCTAGCTACCTTTTCTGTCACACCAAACTTTTGGACGTCCTCCTTCATTGCATCCACAAATCTTCTCTGTGGTCCCACATCTTTACCTCCTTCTTCATATTCAACATCCTTTGTATCCAAACCATCTCAGCCTTCTCTCAGCCTTCTCCCTCTAACTCAGATCTAGAGGTTGTCTCCAAACCAGCTTTTCCTCTGTTGTACTCCTTTCCTAACAATTGTTAGTGCATAAATAGTTTTCTTTACGTTAGAAATTGCAGTATTTTTCAGTGGTATTGTGGGTTTAGTTTAGCAAAATATATAACTTTGGAGGTCTTTCCAACCAGTTAAATGTTCAACCATAAAAAGCACAAGATATACTCTCTCGCGTGTTGTAAAAAGTAAAACATTGTTATCAACATTTAGGATTTAATTAATATATATTACAGACGATTTCCAAGATACCATGTTTGAAATCAAGAGTACAACATTTTAATAATAATAATAATAATAAAAAAGGACGTTTCCTGACGGAACGACGTCAACTCTGCTGACTGCACACCTGTTACGTTGCAACGGAGCCCTAAACGTAGCAAGACGCCGGGACGTCTCCTCTGACGCTTTTTAAAGCGACACCAACCGCTTCAGTGGCAGCAGCCTCGTTCTCGCCAGACGTCCGAGTGCTTCAGCGTTAATTCAGCTAAACTACAAAACCAACATTAAATCGCTACAGACGCCTGCCGTCAGTTAAACATGGCCAGTACAGAGGTAAGCGTGCAAACGACGTACGGCCATTGGCGCGTTTGTTGTTTTAACACCCAGCTGGACACTTAACAACAAAAGCAAGCTGTCAAACTGGGGTCTCTTCTCCATTGAGGGCACATTAGCTAACAATAAACCAACCAAAGCCATGGAGTTTTACCTTGTAAAGTTCATGTTTTGACCTATTTGAATTTTTCTTTACATTTTTCTTGTTACCCTTTTCCTTCTCAGGGAAGTAAACTCTGGGGAGGTCGATTTGTTGGAGACACCGATCCTATTATGGAGAAGTTCAATGCCTCAATCGCTTATGACCAGAGGATGTGGGATGCAGACATCCGTGGGAGCAAGGCTTACGTTAAAGCTCTGGAGAGGGCAAAGCTTGTCAGCACGGACGAAATGGAGCAGATCTTACACGGGATGGCTCAGGTGAAGTCACAACATAAACCGCAACTAAGAAAGATAGTTCAGGGGCAACCACAGGCTGGCAGTAGCAGAAAATCACTTGCATGGTTATGTGTATCACTGCCTTCCCTTTGGCTGGTTAATAGATGACAGCTGAAAATGTGCCATGGTGCAGGATTCCTCTACTGAGTGTGAGCTGCACAATGGTGTCATCATGTGACATCTGTCAGCTGCTAAACAGCCTTAGTTCTTCTTTCATGCAGCTCATTTTTTAGGGTGCCCTCTCTGTCCTGAGGTTCTGCTTTATTGGTGCGATTGTCAATATGTAACCAGGACTGACATTTGCTATACTCATGCACAGTTACTGAAAACTTCCTATGTATTAATATATTTTATTTACGGATTATATTTTAAAATAGTCCCTATTTGTTTCTGCAGATTTCTGATGAGTGGTCTAGAGGTGTTTTTGTCATCAAACCCGGAGATGAAGATATTCATACCGCCAATGAGCGCAGACTAAAGGTGAGTTATGGCTTGTAGAATTTCTTTTTCCTTTCGTTTTCATGGCAACACTCAGCTCAATATGCTTTATATCATAAGGCAAAGACCTTACAACATTAAAAAGAAAAGTGCAGTGAACAGAGTTCGACTTATGAGGTAGTGCTTGGTGACAGTGGCAGAGACCTCCAATGGACCAGACTCAGGGAGGCACAGCCATATGAGGTGACTGGTTGGGGTTAGAGGAGAAAGAAGAAAGGGAAATGGAGCATAGTGGAAGTAGAGAAGTATTTTTTAAAAAATATACAGGTTATGTTTTGCACAGTGTTCTAATTGTTGAATTGACCCTACCAAGAAGTGCTGCATGGTGCAGCAGAAGCTTGATAGAGCTTATTCCACATCAGTATTTTCCAGAAAACAATGAAAATTACATTTATAAGCTCTACTGTTGATTTTAGTAGAACACTAAATGCGTGTGCTACCACTGCTGAAAACAATTTAAAAAAATGTAAACACATATATTGGGTTCAGATACTATTTATCGCTCCTGATGGCTGTTGCGATTTCTATTTGTTGAGAATAAGATTCTGTAAAATCGCTTTGGTCTTAACCTGATGTGTGGAGGATATAGTAGAAAAAAACTGCCAACGATAAAATGTAATTTGAGTGTTTTATTGTTTCAGTTTTGGGCTATAAAACACTGATCTCCTCCTCCGTTGAGGGCTTGGTGATCGCTGTGGTGACAGATGTCATAGTCGTGTGGCTACATGTTTTCTCAGGAGCTGATTGGTGCACCTGCAGGGAAGCTGCACACAGGCAGGAGCAGGAATGACCAGGTCTGTGGTTGTGATATTAAAACTGTAATGATTTAACTGTTATAGAATAGAAAAGATTAAAATATTACCCTCTGTGTGTTTTGATTGATCAGGTGGTGACTGACATGAGGTTGTGGCTGCGAAGCGCAATCTCAACCCTTACGGACAACGCGCTTCAGTTGATAACTACCATGGTGGAGCGGGCGGCAGCGTGAGACAAACACACGCTGGCATACGTAAACATGTGCTCTGCTGTAACCTTGCAGTTCTTAAAAAATGATATTTTCCATCACTTTTTCTGAAACTCAGAGAAATTGAAGTCCTTTTTCCTGGTTACACCCACATGCAGAGGGCACAGCCAATCAGATGGAGCCACTGGATTCTGAGGTGATCTTCTTGTACTGACATATTTGCACTTTTCCCACCTTTCATATAAGACAGTGTGATGTTCACGTCAGTCTCGTGCATCTCTGTCTCCAGCCACGCTGTTGCCCTCAGCAGAGATGTGGAGCGGCTTCAGGAGCTCAAGAAAAGAGTTAACGTTTTACCTCTCGGCAGGTACGCCCTGAACGTGTGACTTTCATTTTGGTCTCACAGATATGATAAAATGAATCCTGTTGTTTTCAGTGGCGCCATCGCTGGGACTCCATTCGACATCGACAGAGAGCTCCTGCAGAGAGGTCAGGCCAATTGGCTTTTTGTTACCAATGTCTTCTTGTCATTTAACTGTTGTTTTTTTTTAAATAAAATATGAATTCAAAAATGAGCAGAAATTACAACATTTGCTGTCCTCTGGATCTGCAGAGCTGGGGTTTGATAGCATCAGTCTAAACAGCATGGATGCCACAGGCCAAAGAGACTTTGTTGGTATGTACTGTAAACTGTACACACCAGGAAACTTTCAGACTAAAATGGATCCAAGCAGTGAAAAACATGAACTCTACTCTGAGTCCTTTCATGTTCACTTGTCTGTTTATTTAGCTGAGTTCTTGTTCTGGGCTTCGTTGTGTTTGACCCATCTCAGTAAGATGGCCGAGGACCTGATACTGTACAGCACAAAAGAGTTCTCCTTCATCACGCTCTCTGATGCCTACAGGTCGGTTCAAGCTTTTATTTTGCAGTTCTTTAGCAGTATGTAAAGATCTGTGATTTACATATTGGAAAAAAATTACTGGCACATAAGAGGAGAGCTGTTCAGCAGTTTATTTACTTCATGAAAGTTTCTTATTACCTATTTTACAGGTAGTTTCAAGGCAAATTAAATCAATAATCAGTGTAAAACTAATAATTCAGTTAAACAATCTAAATCAACAACAAATAAAGAAACTGCAATAATGCTAATCTATACATCCAATCACAGTTAGACAGAGATCAGAATGCTGAAGCAAGCAAAGGAAAAGGAACTTCAAGACATGTTGAGGAGGTCATTTAGCCATTTGAATCAGCTGTGTTGGATCAAGGACACATATAAAACCTCCAGGACACCGGTCCTCGAGGCCTGGAGTTCGACACCTGTGCTGTAGAGGTTTGACAGTTCACTGGATTTCTGTGAGCATAATCTTGGTATTTAATCTATAATAAAACGGAGCCTAAAAGTCTACATCTCATCATTCAACATTTACAGCAACCAAAGTGCAAAGGCTGCAGTCACGAAGCTGTGTTATAAGTTAATAAAGTGAAAAGTTGTGTTTGAATCATTATTTTCTCTGTAGTTGTGTCCATTTAGCACTGATCTCTCTGCTATGACCTACTCTATTTTATGCTGCATTTTCATTGCCCTTCATGTATATTTGTGTGTCTGTGTGTAGCACCGGCAGCAGTCTGATGCCCCAGAAAAAAAATGCTGACAGTTTGGAGCTGATCAGGAGTAAAGCAGGTCGTGCCTTTGGCAGGGTAAGCCTGAAGGGTTGGCTTTAATGCTGTCTTTCTACGCATGTCAGTAGCTCACACTTGCAATTTTATTTTGCCATTAAAAAAAATGTATAATATAGAAACACCAATGATGCTACAATAACTCTTTTCATATCTTGGTATAGCTGTAATGTGCTGTGTGAGATCACTTCCATTAGTTCAAGTGTAGACCCTAAATCCTGTTTCTTCCTGTTGTAAATAGCTGATTCTTTGCTTTCATATTTTAACTTTTTAAAAAAGGGTCAATATGTTTAAAAGTGGAACTAACTGTAGATTTTCCTCTCTGGAGAACAGCTTGTTTTTCCTCTGCAGTACCAGCGCCCTCGTGTGTCCTAAAGCAGTCACTAGTTTTCCGTCACTAGAATCACAGTTGGCTGTTTCAGTATAAAAGTACAGTGCCAAACTGGAGAAAAACACAGGTTAATAAATAGTCTATTCTCTAATAATTTAATATTTTATTATAGTGATACAATAGATCCTTCATAATTTATCATCAACACAGCTCTGTATGATGAAACCTGGGAACAGGAGGCAGAGGCGCATCAGTGTGGAGGGTGATAATAGTTTTATTGTAGTTGTCTGCCTCGCAGCTACAACAGTATCACCTTTCATGAGCATTCAGACGTGCTGTGCTCTCATAGTCTTTACTGCTTTCATTCTTTACTCGCTGCAGTTTTCTCACAAAACTCTTCCTGTGGTTTTTGTATTTCAGTGTGCGGGCTTCATGATGACGCTGAAGAGCCTACCGAGCACGTACAACAAGGACCTACAGGTATGAAAGTCTGTCTTCACGTGGTTTCACTTGGAAGGAAGTCAAATTTCTCCTAATATCCAGCTCTCTTTATCACCGTGCTCACCCTTCAGGAGGATAAGGAGGCCATGTTTGACTGTTATGATAATGTTCAGGCTGTGCTGCAGGTGACCACCGGAGTCATGTCAACTCTGAAGGTCAGACAATCAGTTCACTGCTGTTTCCTTTGAAAAATAAACCGAATACATTTCTTGGTTTGTAGATGGTAATTGATTTCCATAAAGAGTATGTTAAAAGGTTAATATGGAAACAGTAACTCCTGTGTGGTTAATGAGATGCTTCATTTAAAGCTGAATCATTTCCACAGTTCAGTGACATCGTGGCAGTTTTAGCTGCAGTATTTGTATGCAGAGGTGGGTTATGAGAATTGCATCACTGTCAGTCATCTTGCAGCATTAAACCTTTTATTACACGCACTGCTGAGGATTTGACAGAGCTGATTCTCTGTGGAGACTAGCAAACGACATTAACGTAGAAAGATTTTGTAGGGTTTTAAGTTCTGGCTCCATAAACTCAAGGCTGGAAGTTGAGACAGTTTTCCAAACAAGAAGAGGAATTTCAGTTTTTCTTCAGTCTTTTTTCACTGTACAAATAATCTTGCAAACGTTCAGGGTGTCCTTTAATTTTTGCTTATGTTTTAGATCAATCAGACTGTGATGGAAGCTGCTCTCAGTCCTGACATGCTGGCTACTGATCTGGCCTACTACCTTGTGAGGAAGGGGGTGAGTAGATCATATACCCTTAAAATATTATATTATGTAGATGTTAACTATTATGTTATAGATATTCAGGATATGAAATTAATCTATATTATTATTTTTTTTGAAATTACAATTTTGTCTTGCAGATATTTTTAGAACATAACAAATTACTGAGTATCAGTTTTGTAGTTTAGTTGTGTACAATATTCGAGGAAGTAATTACAAAGAAATGATTTCAAATGATGTCTACAGTTTGTACAGGAATTCAAACACTCTTCAGAGCCTTTATTAGGATACAAGTTTATTAGTCCTAGTAACTAGTCCTAGGTAAACTAGTGTCTCTGGGTAGTGGTTTATCTAACAAGTGAAAACTACCCTGTTTGATCCTGGAAGGAGACAAATCTGTCAGCAAGGGTCTGTTTTGTCATTCTTTTTTTTTTTAAATGAGTTTATTCACATTAATTTTTCACTGCAAAATACTTTCCTGCATTTCTGCATGTTGTGTGTTACAGTGTAGCTGTGTGTTATTGTGTGTTGCAGGTCCCATTCAGAGAGGCCCATGGTCTCTCTGGCAAAGCTGTGTTTACAGCTGAATCCAAAAACATTGCCCTGAATCAGCTCACTGTGGAAGATCTCACTGCTATAAGGTGGCTGTCTTCTTCTCACACACAGACTTTTAAACTAAAAGCCTAAAACCTTCCAAATGAATCATTTTCTCTTCCTTTGATTTCTATCATGTTTTTCATACCATAATTTTAAACTCCTCTTTCTTATCTTTGTCTTTTCTTTGTCTGCTCTGTACCTTCAGCCCTCTGTTTGGAAGTGACGTGTCCTCAGTGTGGGACTACAGGAGCAGTGTGGAGCAGTACAGCGCCCCTGGAGGCACAGCTAAGAGTAGCGTCGCTGCACAGGTGGAGCATCTGAGGAACTGGCTGAAGAAACACGCACAGTGACCTCTCGGTGTCACTCGGTGTAACCTTTAGAATCAGATTTGCAGAGCGAGGTTGAAGTGAAATCTTTATACTTTGAGAACCACATTGCTTCCCAAACATTTCATTCGTCTCCGTTTAATATGGAGTGCCATTTCCATCCTGTGCAAACATGAGATGTTTGTCATTGATTGTGTACAAACTGGAAACTGACCAGTTTTAAATACCTGAAAAGAAAATAAATAGTGCCATGACAGGTTGATTAAGTCTGATTTCCACCACAAAAACATCTGATGTGATTTACTTTACTCTCTAGCCATCCTAAAGACACACACAGCCTATTTTACTGCACAGACAAGAACGTGTATTTACTTATGTCACTCAAGTGGATCCAACATTACTTTATGGCAGGTTTATGCAGGATTCACACCTGCGCTGACAATTGAGAGAAACTCTGAGGTGCCTGTTTATTTAAATGCTCCAGTGTGGCCGTTAACCAGTGAAGTCATGTAATGCAAGCATGGTTTCCTGTTGTATATGAACAAAGTTACCAACAGTCAGCTATGATAAACACAACTGACCGGGGCAGAATGAACTGCAAGGCAGATTTATTTCCATGGTGCTTAAAACAGTCAGTTTCATTCATTTTAAACTGATCTAATTGAATCTGTAGAAATCCAAATTGGTGAATACTCAATATAAAATCAGTCTCACTCAACGTAAGGGTTCAGATAAATCCACTGACGTCAGCTGTTAGTTTACTGATTGAAGTTTTGGCTTTGGATTTTGCACATCATAAGAAGTCAAGAACAAGTTATTACTCTGGCAGAGGATCAATATTAATGTATACTTCATTGATCCCCGTGGGGAAATTACTGTCTCTGCATTTGACCCATTCACTCAGGGAAGCAGAGGGCAGGCGCACCGGGGATCAGTGTGTAGGGAGAGTGCCTCGCTAAGTGGTACCTCAGGGTAGCTGTTCAGTGTATTCGAACCCCCGACCTTCCTATCATGGGGCGACCACTCTACATACTGCTCATTGGATTGCTGGAGGATTACTGGAGTTTAGATCTTAATTAAAACATGCACAGGTACATTTATGAGATGCCTTAATTACCAAATGCTTTGTTAAACTCTAAACAACAAAGATACAAATATATACATGAAAAGCAACGACAAAAATAGTAGAATAAAGGTTATTATTTAAAGAATCTCTCATGTTTTGAAAAAGGAAGAAAAATATGTTAAACCTCTAATTCTATATATCGGTTTATTACTTTTGTCCACAAAAACATCTAGGAGAAAATAAGCGTTAATATAAAGCAGTAAAACATGAATATTAAAAACTGACCTCCCCCCCTAAAGCCCCAAGTGCTGCAGGGTACTAAAGCTCACACACATACTATGTTGGTTTTCAGTTTCCTAGGTCAGAAATACTGACATAATTGAAGTCAGTAATACTTTCAAATTCAAATCTACTGCCATGTTAGCGGCTTCAGCTGAAGTCGGCATGTGCTAATTAAATTTGATCATCATACAAATTTCTGTTTGAGATGAAGATGGTGCTGCTTTATGGTTTCAACGTTTTAAATTGGTCTGGTCTGAATCAGTTGATCGGTTTGTTTTTCTTTCTTTCAGCTTCTTTCCACAAAGAGAAAAATCCCAAAGAATCATCATGCATCCCTTCAAATCACCAGAAAACGTTCATGTAGCTCAGATATGTCTATGGTGGGGAGGAAGAAAGTAAATATAGGAAGAAGGTCTTCTTAAATAGCACATATATGTTTGCATTTATGAAACACGCCCAGTTAGCTGTTTTAACTAGTATTACTGTGGAAGCTGCCATTCTTTGCATGCTCCACCATAGCTGCGACATCAGGCTACAGGAGCCGAGTGCACTCACATTTTAGTCAAAACTTGCCTGAATCATTTTCACACCACTACCGAATTAGTTTGGTGACTGAGACCAGTTCCTCTAAAGGCTGTTGTTATCATTCTGCTCAGTACAATATGTGAATCTGTACAGATTTAAGGACAAACAATCCAGTATCTTCAGAATCAGAACACTTTAATAATCTCTAAGGAAATAAGTTTGACACTGCTGATGGTGGTGCTAGGAGAAAACTATCTAATAGGGCTGTACGAGGCACTGCCTGGCAGTCATGTACCTAAATGTGGGCATTGCTGCTGATGTGATCAACTTTAATTGATGGTAATTTGTCAGGAAAAATGGATCATCTTAAAAAATGATTAAGTATGAATACATTACCAATAGTTAACGCAAAACAACTGGCCCTTTTAAGGGTAGCAGTGGCATTTTTAATAAAAACATTTCTTTGCATCTCTAATTTTTGCATACCCTCTGATCTGCAGAGGAAGGCTGAGCTGTGTGTATCTAGCTCTATGTACTTCTGCTGAACTCAAAAAGGGACCATTACTTATTAACGATACATCATGCTTTATCATGTGACTAAGATTCATCAAGAAAATGTTTGCTGAAGTTATAACCCAAGGAAGGGGTTATAAAGGGCAAATACTTTTTCACAGAACTGTATATATACACAATCAGACTTTGAGAAGTCACTCCCTGCTGGCCATAAGAAAAAATGCAGATTTAAGACTTTGTGCGTTGGCTTCGCTGTTCAGACTTGAAGACTATGCCCATTTCTTGCTGCTCATTCAGTGTGCCAGACCCAGCGTAACAGTCACAAATGATAAAAACAGACACCAAAAATGTGTCGCAGTTGTCTGAGCTGTACCCGACTTTGAGGAGTACACAATCCTGCCATCCAGCGGCTGCGTAGGTCGGAAAATGTCAGTCATGGGCTGCCCTGTCCAAAAGCGACACTGCTTAACTATCGCATCCAGCTGTGAAGTGGAGAGGGAAAAAATGTGTTTGAGGAGATGAAGAGTTGTTTAAAGAAGGAAAGTTGTTGTAGGTCTTGACCTCTTAAATGCAAAGTGTTTCTGAAAAGTTTTTTTCTTCCCCCAGGCGTTTTCTACTTTTGTAGTTTTAATAGTTTTATTTTGCATTTTAATATCACGTCTCCATAACTTCTTCAAATATGCTGTTTTTGTTTACATTGTGAAAGAGTAAAGAAATGTCCGTTTGGAGGTTCACAGGTTTATGGATGAAATGCAACCAAAAGCACTAGTTTCTCTACTGTGAGCCTTTTATCTCTTTCACTTATTTATTCTTGCTTACCTGTCGACTACTGATGGCCAGCTTCCTGTGAAACACTGTCCAGGCAACTGCCTGCTCACATCCCGGCGTTGTCATGGAGCCCACGTAGCGGTAGTAACCTTGTAGGTCCTTTGCAGCTGGGATAATGTCACCGAGTCTAAAGTTTGGGATCACTGTGGTGCTGCCTTCATGTGACAAAGAAAGAAGCAAAGTCAGGACTGAATAAAGCTTATTGTGCCCTGATGTGGGAAACAATTATTTGATCCCAATCTGGATCAACTCCTCACTTTATTTTAATGGAGAGAAACAGATTATCCACCAAAAATCCTGAAAAAAATTATTACATGAAAGCAATAAACTGACTTATTGAATTTAAGTATTTGATCTCCTGCAAATCACAGATGGGAAGATAGATTACAATCAATCGATTAATTGCAGATACTCCTCAACTGGTTATATGTATAAAGCACACCTATCCACAGAAATCAGTTTCTTCCAACCAAAGAGCTGCAAATTAACAGCATACATACCGTTGTTTTGTACGCGGCCCAGCGCATCTATTACTGTGTCCAAATGAGGATGATCATCCGCTGTTTCCTAGAAAGATACCATCAATACTATGCCGCAAGTCACGTCTTAACATTTTATGAAGAAGGTGAAAACATCACAGTGTATTACCTCAAACAGGAAGGCGAGCAGAGCTATACCTGCTGTGTCATGTTCGGCCTCCGCCAGAGAGCTGTACGGCTCCTTAATGTGGACAATGTGCATCTGTATAAAGAAAAGAGTACTGTACTGCATCAAGGGCCCTTTCTGCTTTCAGAGATCAGATCAGTCACATAATTTTTTCAACAATGGATATAACAATATTAATAAAATGTTATTAATGACCCTCCTGTGTCATTGTGGTGTATCTGTTAGCCTTACTGAGCAGATTTAAGGTAAATAAAAGGGAATAATAAGGGAATAAAACATGAAATTTTTCACACTAACATAACTGCCATGCTTGAACATTTTTGATGTCAGAAAACCAAATCCATGTGCCAACAAAATTATTGACCTCTACTCAAATCTTTTATAACTTTAATGATGACTCCTTTACCTCCATGGGGAATCTCTCTCCGTCAATGGTGTGCTCTGATCCTGGTCTCCCATTCCCTCCCCAGTGGAGGTGAAATTGGGCGGCTCTGTAGTGACCTGGCAGAGCTCCCCCAATGAATCGAACAGACGGCGGCAAAGCAAAGTGGGCTGCAGGGGCGAGAGATTGTCACTGAGCAAAGGTATTATGTTACTTTAACAGTTATTTTTATGTAAACATGTTGAAAGTATTTGGTCGTTAAGGGAAAAAACACGCTCTGTGTGCCAGACTGGATAAGATCGGCTCTTCATTACCAGAGTGCCCTTTGTTTTCCACTGTCATGTTGATTGTGTCGGTGTGGCCAATGAAGTTGAAAGGTGACAGGGCGATGTCGATGTGGACTTTGCTGGTCACGATGTTAATCGGTGACTGGCGTAACCCTCCACATTTTGGGAATTGAGTAGCCCAGTGGTTGGGGTCTAAGCGACACAAACAGGAAAAGCAAAAGCATCATCAGATTTTAGGCTTCACTGACCATACAGAGTGCTGCCTCTCAGAGAGTCCATGAAGATTGCCTCCCCCACCCATGCTGGCTGAAAAGACAGGATGCCTGCCTATTTACGTAAACGCTTACATATTGTATTTTTTAAAGACTTATTTTGGGGCTTTTTTGCCTTTGTTCATCAGCTGAACAGCGAAGAGTAGACAGGAAGGGGGGCAGGAGAGGACACACAGCAAAGGCCTGCAGGTCAGACTCAATTTATAAAGCAACAACAAAATGAATAGTGCTCAGCCAATTCACCTCATGAATGACGAATATTTGCTGGTGCTGTAGATCTCAATGAGAATGAACATCACTTTCTTCTGCTTTCATTTTGCTACTTTGGGTTTGCTTCTCACAAACACAAGAAACTGCACCTGTGTCCTGTGGCACTTACTAACAGCTGAATCTTGTTTTTTTTATTATCTTGGTTTAGATCTCTCGTTACATTAAGAAACTTTAAGATGAAATTAACTGTTTGAATTACCATCAAACTGATGCATTAAGATTCTCATGGGCACCTTCATGTTTTTAGTCTTCAACTATATTACTTAATATATTACTATATTAATTTGGTTTTTGATAGTGATCTGATAGTGTATTATCTTTTTTTGACACTTTCAGGACACTGGTAGCAATTTTATTATAATTTTGTATTTTTATTTAATTTTTACTTTTTATTTTGCAGTTTAGTTTTAGCTGGTCTCCAATGTGGGTATCCTTGTTTCAGTTTGTCTGAAGATGTTTAGTTTTAGTTTAGTTTGTTAATAGTTTCAGTTTTTAGTTTTAGTCTTTTTTTTTTAAATGTTATTATATTTAAGGAAAAGTGTTTTAAAAAAGTGTTTGCCCCCTTTATTATTTCCTAGTGTTTTGGATATTTGTCATACTTACATGTTTCAGATGATCAAAGAAATTTTAATATTAGACAAAGATAACGCGAGTAAATACAAAATGCACTTTTTAGATTATGATTTTATTGATTGAGGGAGAAAGGGTGAACTAACCTAAACCTACCTGGTCCTGTGTGAAAAAGTAATTGCCCCTCTTGTTAAATCACAAATTAAATGTGACAAACCACATGTAAAAGATCTTAAAAAGCAACACATCATGTCACGATCTAAAGAAACACCTGAGAAACAAAGTCACTGACATCTATCAAGGGTTAAAAGGCCATTTCTAAGACTTTGGGACTCTGATGAAGAGTCATTATACACAAGAGGAGAAGACTTGGAACAATGGTGAACCTTCCCACGAATGGCCAGCTGACCAAAATTACTCCAAGAGGGCACAAAAGAGCCCAGAAAACTTTAAAGGACTGCAGGCTTCACTGCCTCAGTTAAGGTCAGAGTTCATGATTCAACACTAAGAAAGAGACTGGGCAGAAATGGAATCCACGGGAGAGTTCAAGAAGACCACTGCTGACCATGAAGAACACAAAACCTCGTCTCACATTGGGTAAACAACATTTTTTCGATCCCCTTGACATTTGGGAAAATGTGGACTGACGAGACAAAAGTTGAACTTTTTGGAACGTGTGTATCCCAGTACTTTTGACGTAGAAGTAACACAGCATTTCAGAAAAGGAACATCATACCAACAGTAAAATATGATGGTAGTGTAATGGTCTGGGGCTGTTTTGCTGCCTCAGGACCTGGAAGACTTGCTGTGGTAAATGGAACCATGAATTCTGCTGTCTATCAAAACATGAAGGAGAATGTCCAGCCATCTGTCCATGACCTCTAGCTGAAGCACACTTGGGTTCTGCAGCAGGACAATGATCCAAAACACAAAAGCAAGTCCACCTCTGAATGGCTTAAGAAAAACAAATGGAAGACTTTAGAGTGGCCTAGTCAAAGTTCTGACCTGAATCCAACTGAGATGCTGTGGTACGACCTTAAAAAGGTGGTTTATGTCCAAAAACCCTCCAATGTGGCTGAATTACAGCAATTCTGCAAAGATGAGTGGGTCAAAATTCCTCCACAGTGCTGTAAAAGACTCATTGCCAATTATTGCAAACTGTTGACTGCAGCTGCTGCTGCTCAGGTTGTTCCAACCACTTATTAGGCTTAGGGGGCAATCGATTTTTCACATAGGTTTGGATTTTTTCCCCTTAATAATAAACACCTTCAATGATTTGTTGGTGGAAAACTAACAAAATAACTCCTAACTTAGAAACTATGACAATAACTTTTTGGCATGGGATACGCTTTGAGTGTAGTTTGTGATTTTGTGTATAGTACACTAACAGGTTATTACAGTTAAAACAATTTTAATACATGTGCAATGTTTCTGAATAAGTAATATTTTATTTGGAAGATAACATAAATTTGTGTTCCAAAACTTGACTTGAATGAATGCCACATGTGTATTATAGCCACATAAATAAACAAATTAACTATACTCAGAATTATGTCAAATATATTAAAATGGGTTTCAACAGGACAAATAACAGGACCTCCACCTGTTTTTGCACTACAAATGTCTTAAAGTACAAAGAAAATAAAATGTTTATATATAAAATAAATGACTATTCCTTTAAAAGAAAATACTGCTCAGAAAGTGAGCTGCATTGGTGAAGGTTTGATCTCTGAGTCATTCTTGATTCATTTAACTATTGTTTTCCAAGTTCAGAAAATCTTTTTCATTTTTCAAAAGTCCAGTGTTTCACCTGGTGGCTGTAGCTCAGGAGGTAGAGCCGGTAGATCACCTACTGATCAGAAGGTTGGTGGTTCAATCCCTGGCTCCTCCATGCCAAATATCCTTGGGCAAGATGCTAACTCCAAGTTGCTCTCCGATGCATCCATCGGAATATGAATGTGGTTAGACAGCAATAAGTTTAGAGAAAGTGAATGTGGCATGTTGTATAGAGTGCTTGGAGTACTCTGAGAGAGTAGAAAAGTGCTCTATATGAATCAGTCCATTTAGTTTTTATATTTTCCACATCTAGTTTTAGTTTAAGTTAAATGCAATAACTTTATTCTGAAACTGATGACGTTTAACCAAACAGATTTTTGGAGGCCAGTGAGAACCTCTGTGGTTAAGCCCAATAATAAAATAAATGGTTAAAGAATTGTTCATATCGCAGTGGTTTACATCCTTGACTTGCAGGATCTTTGACACTTTTTGGATTTTCCTCTAAAATTTTGTAGGTTCCTTTCTTTCTAGTCTTACCTCTGCATGGGTCATCACAGGCATTGTGGTTTTGATAACACCAGTTAGCTGGAGAAAAAGTAAAACACTGAGATTAGACCCAGGAACACACACAAACAGACACACATAACCTGCAGTGTACACAGCGCTTATATTTATGTTCGGGATGGTGCTGCGCTGTGCCAGGCCAACAGTCTCCCTGCAGTTAATAAATGAATATTAATTAAGTTCACGCTCTATTAGACACAGCGTTTATTTTTTTCTTAGTCAGCAACTAGCTGATCTGCTCATGTGTTTGTCCTCTGCACCTGAACTTTGCAGCTGACATATTATTAGTCTTCACATGACACATGTGCTCAGTGTGTTAAAAATATGCTGTGTCCATTAATATGTTATCTGATAAAGCACAGACAGAATGATGTGTGATTACAAATGACTGATCCTTACGATTTATTGATTTATTACAATGAATCACCCTGCCTCCCTGCAAATTTAGTCTGACTGCTGAGCTCAGTGCACTTTGAAAAAGTTGCACAAAACCCACCTCTGCAAAAAGTGAAAAAGACATCCAAAAATGTGTTCAGTCAAATTCATAGACCCCCACACTTACTTCCTTTGTTTACAAGAACAACAAAAGCTGTGCCAGAACAAGAGAGTAGTATAAAAATATATTGACCGAAGGTCTTACAATAAAATAAATTAGCAGCCTACATTTAGTTTTCAAACATGTTTTACTCAGTTTAAATGTTGGAAAATGCGTCTGTGTGTGACAGTGAGTGGAAGAGATGCAGGCGGATTTTAATCACCCAGGTCAGCTGGTTGTTATTACACTGATTGCTTTCAGTGCAAAGTGGCTTTATCCGACTCCTTAACTGCCTCTGCACCGCTGCATTAAGCGTGTTCATTCAACAGGTGCTGATGACGTTATTAGAGTTGTGCCGTGGTTGTGTATTGTGTTTCTGATGTGAATGAAAGTCCGGTGTTTGACTCTGCAGTGGGAATGAAAGCCGCTATAGAGAACCATTTAGCTAATATAGGAACACAGATTAGCCCTGCTGACTCCCACAATGCCGTCCTTTGAAAAGGGGACAGTGGTTCTCACCAACTGAGAACAATACACAGCTGGAGGCTGGCTTTACACCACCTGGTTCATTCACCTGTGTGAGACTGAGCAGCGGGGAAAAGTCAGAGTGAAGTCTGTGCAGTGATTACCTCGCTAAATTCCCAGTTTTACTTTCCTTACACTGACAATATCTTCTACAGTTCACCATCTGAGCTTTCAGAGTGGCTCCATGCAGCCTAAACTTGGAGCTTACACATGACAACGTGAATCCCTGTGAGAAAATAATTAAACTCTTACTGCATTGACAGAAATTAAGAAGGTAAGTAACAGCAGGTGCTGCTGATCGGTTGCACTTAATATAGAGTGAGCACCTGTGTAAAAGCAGATGTTTTGGCAGTTTGCTGATCTGGAGCACTCGGGTGTTTGTTAACACGATGTCACAATCTTTCCAGGAGTGGAAGTCCCGGCAAATTTTATATGTCAGACTGTGCAGCGCTCAGAGAAACTGCAAAAACATCCAAGCGCTACATCTCAGACTCCAGGCCTCGCCTAAATGTTAAAGTTCATTACAGTAACCAGAAACCACAAGACATCTGGAGCAATGTCCTTTAGACAGAGGAGACCACAGTGGAGATATTTGGCCATGTTTGGCAGAAACAGAAACACCTAATACCAGCTTCAGGCGAGGTGGTGATGATAAGTGATTGATTTGGAGCCACAGAAATTTGGCACCTTGTAGTGAATTCGTCGACAGGAACTGATTGAAAAGATGCAGCAGGACCACAAACCTGAAGCTATGTCCAGTTCAAGCTATAAGAACGGCCCAAAGTTCCT